TCCATTCACCCTGGCTACGGCCCTGGAATATCGTGTCACATTGATCTGTGTATTGATATCATTTGCCTCGTAGATTTACACCAGAGAATATCCTTTCAAAACTAACCTCATTAGTGTGAATGCCAACAAATTAAAGAGAGATAGTTATGTTTCAATCATGGTCRTGAACGTCATTATTAAAGACTGAAACTGGAAACCTATAAGCAAACTATTTCAGGCTCAATCTACAAATAAACAGTACTCATCGCTGATGTCAAAGTATGGTACGGCTCTGTATGATGCCTTATGCAAGGCTTTTTTTAAGCAAATTCACCTGGCTCAAGGGGTTTTGTGAATAGACTTGCATGTATACATATATGGAAATTATGTATAACAAACATTATTTAAAAGTCGAGTGCATGTCTCATTATTGAAACAGATATACACTTTTGGCGCACCACTTTAAAAAAATATCCAAAGCAACTTGTCATGTTTAATGGGAATACGGGACAAATTCGCATCTAAAAACTGGTCAACGCCTTGCTGTTAGTCAGTTAAATTGCATATTCCGATTTCCGTGGGGATTGGGAGGGGGTACTCTCCCCCAACTTGGGTGGGGGGTGTGCCGCTGGGCCCTCAAAACCCAAGCCCCTGATCCAGAGTAAAATCGGCTGAAAACGATACCCTAGTTGGCGGCACGTCACCGTATAGCGAATATAGGGGAGTACATCACCCCCGGGATTTCGATAAAATTGTGCACGGTGTGCACGGTCACTACATATGGAATACCTTTTTGCACTGAAACTCACTATAGCGGCATGAATGACTGTTCTTATCATTCAACATAAATTGTTAAGACAGTTCGCTACCAAACGATTGAGCTGATGGACGGGGTCTTTAATCGTTGATTTAATTTAACAACTTCTTGAAAATAAAAAAAATGACAACGACAAAAAAAACAACAACATAAGTTCCCTTACCTACAGCACGTTGAATTGCTGTATCACAGTTTACCAGCGTAAAAACCAATCCACAAACCAATGCGACTAAAATCATTATCTTCAGCATCTTCGTAGGTCTTCAGTGAATTGAGTGATGAAGGTGAAACGAACTCAATGATATGATCTTTTCGGAATGCTTCAGATGACACGGCCCTGCCATGGTGCTGTTCAATCACTTGTATTATTTCATCAAATTCTRTTGATCACTGTAAAAATTGAGCATGCGCAGTAGGAGTTTCCCCTCAGCGGAGCCCTTGTCGCACACCATTTGGTTTATCGTTTTCAATTGCACAGGGGCGGATCCAGCTGGTGGTTTCAGGGGGGGATGCGCACCTCCTCCTGAGATCTGTTTTCTTCAAAACATTCCTTATTTTGTAATGATTTTTGTCCGGGGTGCACCCCCTCCTGAGAGCCCTTCACCCCTCGCTGAGGAAAATCCTGGATCCGCTCCTGTTGCATGAACAATCTAGCTAGTTCAACCATAATTTGAAACATGTAAAGTATGGGACAACAACATTTCAATATACCAAATGTAAAAGCAAATTTCGTATACCGTATAAATGATCTTATAAACGCCCTCTTTCTAATGATCTTTACTGGATGCTACAGATAACACGGCACTGCCATGGTGTTGTTCAATCACTTGTATTATTTCATCAAAAAATCTATTCATTACCCTGAAGAATATAATGAGCAAGTCCAATACGATCTCTGGGTGGTCCCTTGGGGAAAACATTTGTCGCACTCTGATTGTCTGGTCATTTTGAATGTCTAATCTATATTGATACGTTATATTAACACCAGGAGCAATAAACTAAAGCGATAAACAGTCTCACGAAAAAAACCCAGATACAACAAGTTATACAAGCACATTTATTATCATTCCATTCGATGAATTGCCATGAATCTTATGCTACCTGAAAGAGAACAAAATGAGGTAGACATTTTTAGCTGAACTCTTCCTAAAGTATTATTTACATCATGGCTTAATATTATTCTCGTACTTTTGCTTCGAGCCATACTACAATCAATAGCCAAGCACATGTTTATCTGAGACATACTGCTAGATTGCGACATTCGAATTGTGTGTGTGTTTATTTGTTAATTTGGTCATTTTTATATTGTCGTTACAATTTCATTTATCTTCACAAATTCCAGAACATGTGCTATCACATAAGTCTGCTGTACATCCCACAGTCATGTCTGGAGAAGTCGAATATTATCACTAATAAAACGTATGTTTTGGGAAGTAGTTCTGCAACAGGAGCGTTAGGTGCATACCTCTGAGTTTTCAAGTACTTCATAGGCCATAAGAGACCTTGCTATGCCAACACCGTTCCAGCAAGTGTCCGACGGGCCGTCCTTGTCATAACTCACTTCATGATTACCACCGCTCCAACATTCGCCATAAAACTCGATTCCAAAATATTTGTATCTAAAACAAAAGATAACTATCACCTATTTTTACAYATCTTAAAATCGAAGATGACAATTCAAAAAGACAGACTTACAAACAAATGAAAGAATTGAATTGTAGTTTCGTCCTTATTCAAAAGTGCTCGCTGCTAAGATCTGCATTCAGCTGTGCATTTGTAGTTTTAGCCTATGTACACTACATTCCTTTTCGAGTRGCGGCGTAGTGATGAGAAGATATATAGTTGASAAAGAAAAGAGAGCTTTCGTATTATTTTCCTTTYTTCTCTCCAAAAATCTGTTTCCTGTGGAAGCTGGTCGCAGAAGGCTTGTCTACACATGACCTCTTGCACCCTAGCTTCCTAGCACTGGATCTCTCTCTTTGCTTCTCTCTCTGCATCCTTCTCTCAAAGAAAGGAAAACGGAGCACCATCATGAGAAACAAATTATATAGGCACTTACCCAAGTTCCTTGGTCTTTTTAGCACACTTGTCGATGACAGACGACAGAGACGTCTTAAAGTCATTCCAGTCAATTGTATCCCTGTAGTTTGCGATGAGTTTAGGAAAAGGTCTGCCATTGACGTCCATCTTGTCCTTGAAGCATCCCAACTTCTTATAGTTGTCTGTAAAATGCATGCACACTTGACATATCAATACTAAYACCATCTTTTTTCATTCTTTTCATTTAATAATCTGTTACCTTTTTTCATATGACATCCATCACCTTTAAACACGATATTGTCCAATGCTATGTCACTTCTAAAWYCTWTGCCACGAGTAGCTTCAAACGAAATCTGATAAAACAAGTACATTTTTACATATTTCTCCGTATTGTTCTAAATCTCSAAACCAAATCAGTGATCAGTCATGATACTCATTTGCAGGCATTAATACACTYYTTTGTTCACGAAGAGRTATTCGTCACTTGCACTTTCCAGGAATTGTGCATAKACATTGTCTAGTGCAAAGTCTGAAATCATGAGCTGAATAGAGTGATATATTTCTCTGACAAACCATGCATAGACGTCTCACTGGAGTAGAATTGCTAATATACCCTGAACATGATCCAAACTGACATATTTTCTAAGGTTGCAGCGTTCTGCGAAATGCAGTATGCTGTTTACAATCCTACCTTGTATTCATGTTTGCTTGTAAAAGGTGCATGACCTCTATGCCATTTTTCTCCTTGGTCACCAGACTTTGAAAATATATTGGACTTTTGTCCAGTTTTCACGTCAATAACATAGACATTCAAAGCTCCCATATGTTCCCCGTACATACTGTAAGCAAACTGCAGAGTACACTGTCCACCAGCAGCAGAGAACACCTTGCTTTGAAGCTTCGCTACGTCATTTGGTTCCGCTGGGGCTGACGCTTCAGCGTATATATAGTAACCTGTGACATGTCAGAATTCAGAAATGAAGTAAACAAAATCCTAAAAATTGTTTTGCTTTTACTTTCACAATTCCTTCACATAATCTAGTATTTTATGATGTGTGCAGCTGAATAAAAACGTGACACCTGTTTCCGTTGATACTCATGCAGACATCCAGAAATTAAGAAATCAGTCATTGCACTGTTTGGATGTCAGAACCGGTTACTGAACAAGCATTCCACGTGTATTTGACGGCCCTGCACAATCTCGATAATTTACTAGAGGACTATTAAGGGCTTAGGGTTAAGGTCAGGGTTAGGTCAATTGAAATATATAGAAATTCCTTACATCATCACAAATCTTGTCGCTGCCGATACAGGTCGCTATTCGTAAGTTATTCATCAACTCACCTTGCACATTTTCGTTCATTTCCTTAAACCCAACGCCTCCTTTTGGACCAGTCTTAAGTGTTGGTGTTGAGCCTTCCTTATGAAACCATTTATAATTCGTGTTGTCTTTACCATTCACCCAAGAACACATATCAGTTTCAAACTCACAATCATAGGGACCTGGACATAAAGTGGTTTTAAATTGATATTACGAAGTTTACGTATTGAAAAGAAAACATTTGGGAGGTATATATGATCAGAACATTCGAAGTTATACCTAAACCACAACTTTTAAGTTGACAACTGCTTTGTTCTTCGCCTTTTCCTGCTGGACATGGTTTGCCTTTGTTTGCTGGCGATGGATCATTGCACTGTCTTGTTCTCTTCTTGGTGCCAAGTCCACAGGTTGCGCTGCATTGACTCCAAGAAGACCAGCGTCCCCAATGRCCATCTACAGGAGCTATAGTTACAAATATATTAAAAACTCAAATACAGGATCTACCATTTAAGGCAACACACAAACAGGCTTAAAAAATGAATTGATATCGAGTAAGACATGGACTAACAGAAAAAAAAAGAAGAAGAAAACATCAGAAGTACATAACCAGAAGTGTCCATCTCCCCAATAATATC